CACAGAATCTTGGTCTTTTTGTATTGTATTATTCTGCATAATATATTATACTGTAAGTGCACACACAAGTGTGCACGCATCTGAATTTTCACAAGGGGTGCCTATATCTGGATATAAACCTGAAGGTGCGGTAGTTTTGGCACATTTTGGACTTTCAATTATAATTGACATCAACTTTGAAATGAAAGTCACAGAATGTGTATTTTCTCATCAATTGGTGAGTTTGATAAATGATGAGAACATTGGTATAAAAATATCTCATACAATAAATATGTGTTGAGTGAAGTGGTGTTAATTAAAATGATCAGTGAATTAATCGATGAATTAGATATAAGTAAGTGAACAGTGATGCATGCACCTATATGCTTGATAATACGGTGATAATATTTAATAGAACATGATCACTTTAATAATGTATACAAGGTGTATTTGAAATAATTATATGAATTTAGCAGATGTATTGTAAATATTAGTAGTAAATTAGTAGATCTAATAGTATTATGGAATCATGAAATATTTCAAAGAATTTTAATTGTGTTTAAATTACCGCAAAACTTGAAATTGCACTACAACTGCATTATACCAAAATTTTACACAAATCTTAATATAATTGCAGTTTTTGCATGCTTTGTAATTACAAATTGTGGTTCATTTAATCTTGTCGTATATTACTATTTACATAATTAATTGTAAATTAATAATTTATCATATTATTTAATTTATTTTAATAATTATCAATTAATTTATCATATTAATTGTGTATGAATATTTACTAATGCAATATAAATTTAATAAAATATATTTAAATTTACAATAATTTCTGACAAATTAATAAATTGTGGAGCAATTATATATTATTCTTATACAAGAGGTGTATCTCAGGATAAACTTGTGGCAATTTGTAAGTATCATCATTTTTAACCACAATTCAGTATGAATAATGTGGTTTATAGGATCGTTCTGCCCCTATAAAATTTTTAATGCATTTCCCGAATTGTGGTTAACGCATAGCATCGCGTGTGATCCTTGTTTAAATTAACTAATAATTGCAACTTATTTACGTTTAACGGTATTAATATACGTACGTTTGGATTCATTTTTAAACACAATTCAGATATGAATGTGGTTTATAGGATTGTTTGACCCCCTCTTCCCTTCCGCCCCCCCCCGCTCTATGGGATATCACATGGAATTACAGTATAAGTTTAATAAGTTAGCAGATAATAAAACTTTGTGCAAATACTTTCTTAAATATCAAACTTTATCCTAAAAAAGGAAACATCTTTAAGCGGCTCAACCGATCCGACGGGAGTGATATAGTGGTGACCACAACAAGAGGAGACATGTATTCCTGTTGCAGAACATTGCAGTTATGGACAAACCGCAGGTAACAGGCTATAGGGCTGAATGCATTGAAAACTAGCTCACGTTAGTAAGTAATGCCATTCACCAGAATTGTAATTATCAGCCGATCAGAAATGTGTCCATAACTGCGTGTATTACTTCTATCGGATCAATTGGTCCGCATAAGGATATTTCCCTTTTATGCTATCCTATGAAGTCTATACCCTCTCTCACTCGTTCGCTCTCATCCTCCCTCACATTCGCTTCTTTTTTTTTGTTTTCTCTTTATTTAAAGTTTGAACAAATGAGTGAACTTAAGGGCGACTGACTTCCTAAACATCAGTTGCAGTCAATGAGGGAATCATCGCTTCACTCAACACAACATATGTATATTCTGAGATACTTCTGCACAATTATCTCCTTTTCTTCCCTTTCCTCCATTGGATTCACTCTTTTTGTTATTAAATTGTGAATTGATTTGCAATTTATTGTATAATTAGACGACAATTAAAGCATTGGTTTATTTGTGAGAAACACATCAATGAGTGAATCATTAAATGAATTGTATATTAGATTTGCATAACTTTTGGTCAAATTATTTACATTTGTGTGAATAGTGTTGTGATTTGTGAGCAATGAATGCGAGTATTATTTGTTATAATAGTATTAATAATAATATTAATAATGAATTAAATTAAATGTTGTGTTAAATGAGAAGTGATAACGAAATTGAAATACAAATCAATGCATAATTGATATGAAAACAAACAAAAACACCAAATATTGAGTCAAACACAGAGTGAGCATCACTTTTACACAAATTATTATTTCGCACAGTTTTCACTCAGTTTACGTCATTTATGGTTCAAAGCGTCAAATATTTAATTTAGTTTTTTATAAATAAAGTAATTTTATATTTTAATTTTATTGCTTTAAGTAGAGTATAATCACTAAATATATTTATATATTTGATAATTAATTTAAAAATATACACTAATTAATTCTTATTTATATATATCTTTAGTATACAGTGTAAACTAAAAATTTATACTATACACTATTCAAAATTTGTGTGGCACAAAATGTGATTCAATTATTTCCAACAAATAACGTAACATAAAATTATAAAAATTGATTGAAGTAATAATATTAGCGCAGTTTTAACGTATTAACAAACACAACGCCATCTCTTTCAAGATTGTTAGAGTTTTGTAAATCATGAAATTGAAATGTTAATTTGACCATGGTACAAATTGTACAACAAAACTGTGCAATTTACACCATGTTTTAACCACAATCCATATACTTCCCCGTTTAGTCCCTAAGAGTTGCCATTTTTAAAAATACATCACACTTTCGCATAACACAGACACAGAATATTCAAAAACACTAACTGTAATATGTATTAGTAATACAACTTTTAAAATGTATAAATGCTGTGATAGAATAGAATCTATTCAATAGATTATTTATATTAAATGTCAATGATTAAATATAACCTAAATATACTGTAGATAAATAAGACAAATGACGTGCAAATAATGTAAATATAACCATATATTATACAGTATAAGACATTAAACATAGAATGCAATAATTAGTATACAGAATCTTGGTCTTTTTGTATCGTATTATTCTGCATATACTGTAAGTGCACACACACAAGTGTGCACGCATCTGAATTTTCACCTATATCTGGATATACACCTGAAGGTGCGGTAGTTTTGGCACATTTTGGACTTTCAATTATAATTGACATAAACTTTGTAATGAAAGCCACAGAATGTGTATTTTCTCATCAATTGGTGAATTTGATAAATGATGAGAACATTGGTATAAAATATCTCATACAATAAATATGTGTTGAGTAAAGTGGTGTTAATTAAAATAATCAGTGAATTAATCGATGAATTAGATATAAGTGAGTGAAGCAGTGATTCAAATAGAGCTCAACTCTCGTGTGAAAACTCAAAAAAAATTCTTCGCGTATAAAGACTCGACTCTAAGGACAAGATCTGTAACTAATCGCGGACTTGATTTACCGAAAACTCATTTAACTGTTTATAAGAATTCAATGTTTTCTCTGGAATCGAAGTTTACAATCGTTGTCGAGTCCTAACATCCGATTGTCAGCAACTTTTAACACATTTATTAGAAATTTGCGTAACTTTTAATTATATACATGTACTTTTTTAAATCTAGTTTTTTAATTTAATTTTATGTATATTTAAAACACGTCTTCATTGGAAATCATCTTCTGTTGGATGTATTTCGTGTCTAAACAACAATAAATTTAATTCAAATTCATTTCAAGATGTGGCAAAATATTGTATATTATATAATAACGAATCAAATTAAGACAGATTTATTTATTTTAAACAATAAATTTTTTGTGCACTTATATATTATTTTTATACAAGGGATGCACTTAAAGTGATCCTGATATAAGTGCGGTGGTTTTAATGACTGGTAAAATCGGTAAAATTCAATGATAAATGCATGCATATATGCGTGATAATCGACCCCCTCTTCCCTCCGCACCCCTCTATGGGATTTCACATGAAATTACAGCTTAAGTATAATAATTTAGCAAATAATAAAACTTTGTGCAAATACTTTTTTAGATATCAAACTTTATCCTAAAAAGGGAAACATCTTTAAGCGGCTCAACCCATCCGACGGGAATGATATAGTGGTGACCACAACAAGAGGGAACTTGTATTCCTGTCGCAGAACATTGCAATTATGGACAAACCGCAGGCATAGCGTTAGTGAGTAATGCCATTCACCAGAATTGTAATTTGCCGGGCAGAAATGTGTCCATAACTGCGTGTATCACTCCTGTCGGATCAATTGGTCCGCATAAGGATATTTCCCTTTTGTGCTATCCTATGAAGTCTATACCCTCTCCCACTCGTTCGCTCTCATCCTCCCTCACATTCGCTTCTTTTTTGTTTTCTCTTTATTTAAAGTTTGAACAAATGAGTGAACTTAAGGGCGACTGACTTCCTAAACATCAGTTGCAGTCAATGAGGGAATCATCGCTTCACTCAACACAACATATGTATATTCTGTGGCCCTCTTTGCACAGGAAGACAGCTTTGGCTCCACTCTCTCTCTCTCTCTCTCTCTCCATCTTTAAATAAGAGGTCATTACTTTGATTATATAGAAAATTGTCGCTCTTATGACATCACTAGTGATGAACGATTTAATGCTCGAACAAATGCCAGACTTCATGTCTTTAAAACTATAGGCTGTGTTCAAGACTCGGCTCTACAAAACTTCGCAAAATATTCTACACATCTTTGTTTTGATACTATTTTTAGTAGTTTTGCTTTCAGTTGTTGTTTCGTATATGTAGTAAGTATTTAATTCAAGTAAATATTATATAGATATATAGATTAATCCTGTTTTTAATTAAAGAATATTTAGTGTATTTAATGTATTTTGTTGTGTAACTAATCCGTGAATGTTGTGTCACTTAATTTTAAAGATAATTTTGATAACTCACTGAAAATTGATAAGTTTAAAAGGCGTGGTCTTTGTAATGCTTATCGTAATGAATGCTATCATTGATAACTGAATGACTTATTTATGAACGACTTATTTAAATGTTAAATAATATTTTGACAAAAATATTTTATCAATAGATTTATTACATTTAATCCAATTGATTTAATATTTCCTTATTAATAGTAATTAAAGCAAACCATAAGTTTGACGTACTTTTACTGTAATATTAATTGTTTTTTATTACTTTATTCTTCCCTTTCCTTTGAGTTTCACTATTTTGTTCTGTCATTCTGTGAACAAGAATTTATTTGTCAAACATATCAGTCTTAATATATCCATACATTTAACAGTTAACTTCAAAATTCAGTTTTAAATTTTCCATTTCTTATTTATAGATTATTTCAACACAGAAAATGAATGCCAAGATTTTGACAGTTTTACTATCGATTACATTAATTGATAGCTTTGTATTTGCTTTTGATCGACAAGTAATACTCAATCGACTTATTCGGGCCACTAATGAAAGGAAAAATCAACCCTCGGGTAAGTATTTTTGTGCATTTATTTCATAAAATAACATAACATATAATTTATTTATAATATAAATTTTATATTGTGCTCAATATTCTATATTTTTACCATTATTATAAGATAATGAAAAGTCTTATACAGTACTAGCATTTTGTGGAATTTGTACAGTTAGTGACAAATAGTTTTAAACAATGATTAAAAATTGATATTTTCTCTTACAAGTTAGCTTTATAGAATGTGAATATTTGCCACAGAAATGTATTGCTAAAGTAAAGAGCAATGAAATTGTCGCCGGGTAAATTTGTTACAAAATTAAAACTAATTGATTATTTTGATTTAAATAATTTTTTAATATAAATATAGAACTTTGTGAATAAATTATCGAAAGAATTAGTATTTAACATGTTCAGTTTGGCCGCAATAAATATTTCAATACGCGGTTGAAGGCATTTGATACTACACTCTATACTGAAAGGCTATTGAAGTGTATAACATTTCGCCGATATTTAGTGTAGAATAAGCTGATCCTGACTATATTTGAACACCTTAATTAAATTATATTTTGTTAAAAAGTTACTCATTTGTTCCTAGATCAATATTCGTCATATTTCTTAAGACACTGGTGTTATGGTGTCCTTAATTTTAGAGATATAGGAGTGCTTATCTGGCCAGCAGTTCCGGTGAAGGTTCTTGAGGTTTGTTGTTGTTAGACATTGTTAAGGCTTGAGTTGACATATCATGTGATATATTGATGGAAAGGTCTCATCATGATCTATAAACTGGTTTTTAAACTTTCAAAATCGAGCCTAAAATAAAGGTTTTGTGCGCGAAATTTAAATGTGTAACCGACGACAATTTCATTGCTCATTAGTTTATTAATAAGCCTGGTCAATTCTAAAGTATCTTATGCTCTTAAGGTGTCAGTAGGTTTGGTAACGGTAATTAAATCTTGACGTTTATTAAGTTATTTAAAATACAGTATATAGTTCGTAAAATCGGAATCACGCAAAGGTTTGGAAGCAAAAATCATATTCATAATGAGTTAACTATTTAGTTATGCATAATTATAAAGCATTCATTGAATTTAAATATCGGATTAATGTTTGAATATACATCTATTGAATTCTTGAGCAATGAATTGTTGTACAAAGTTGTACAATACATTTTGCTTTACTCTAATTAGAATATTAATACCATTGTGAATTACAATTTTTATCTCATATTGTGTTAATTTGAAAACTTGTGACAAAATAATTCATTAATTTTTATCCGATAGACACAAATTGTTGTTTATTATTAACAAATATTATACATATTAACAGAGTGTCGGTATGAGAAGGAGGCGTGGGAGGAGTGCGACAGTTCAGGTACTCTATGCTTAATAATCATTCATTTAGTTTCTCACAAATTGAGTGTCATTTTTAGGACAACAGCGAAGAGTTCTTCGACTAAAGGCCTCACGTTCTGTGACCACAAACTGTGAGCCCCAGAAGTTTATTACCAGACAATGCAAAAAGAGTCAGTCCAACCAATTAAGTAATACTTCATATCATTGATTATTAACACAATCGACTCTATTGTTTGTATATATAGATTGTCGCTATTCTAAAGGAGTTTGGAGTGATTGTGTGAATGGATCCAAACATCGAATCGATACCATTAAATCCATTTCAAGCACCGGTTGTGAGAACAGTAGAAATATCACCAAAAAATGCAAAGAGCGTATGTTTTGAGCAAAATTGTATTTTTTATAAGCATTACTTCATTTGTTGTAAATAGAGTGCAATTACGTGAAGAGCGACTGGTCTTTGTGTGAAAACGGTATGAAAAGCAAAACACTGACCCTTCAGAGCGAGACGAGTGCCCGAACCGGATGTGAGGCAACAAAACTTATACGAAAACAGTGCGGAAACAGAAACAAGAAGGAAAGGACCAAAAACAAGAAGACTGTTCCCAACAACACTCCAATCATTGATGAATAATTTGTCTCAATTATAATTTCTGTGCTTTTCAAACATTTTTGGTTTCTTTCTATTCATTTAGTCATTATTAAGGAATAACTGATTATAATATGGTTTTTAGCCATTATTATATCGTATATATATTTGGTATTCAATAGATTTAGAATTCATAACATTATATTTAATGATTGTGTGAATGGATCCAAACATCGAATCGATACCATTAAATCCATTTCAAGCACCGGTTGTGAGAACAGTAGAAATATCACCAAAAAATGCAAAGAGCGTATGTTTTGAGCAAAATTGTATTTTATATAACCATCACTTCATTTGTTGTAATTGTTGTAAATAGAGTGCAATTACGTGAAGAGCGACTGGTCTTTGTGTGAAAACGGTATGAAAAGCAAAACACTGACTCTTCAGAGCGAGACGAGTGCCCGAACCGGATGTGAGGCAACAAAACTTATAAGAAAACAGTGCGGAAACAGAAACAAGAAGGAAAGGACCAAAAACAAGAAGACTGTTCCGAACAACACTCCAATCATTGATGAATAATTTGTCTCAATTATAATTTGTGTGCTTTTCAAGCAGTTTTGGTTTCTTTCTATTCATTTAGTCATTATTAAGGAATAACTGATTATAATATGGTTTTTAGCCATTATTATATCGTATATATATTTGGTATTCAATAGATTTAGAATTCATAACATTATATTTAATTATCTTTTTATATAACTTAACATTAATTGCAAACAAATAAAAGATTAACAAAACAATTGTTTAATCGAGAGAGAGAGAGAGAGAGAGAGAGAGAGAGAGAGAGAGAGAGAGAGAGAGAGAGAGAGAGAGAGAGAGAGAGAGAGAGAGAGAGAGAGANCTTGTTTTATTCAGTATTTAGGAGTTCATGTCGTGAGAGAGAGAGAGAGAGAGAGAGAGTACAGAAAATTGAAATGACTCTGGCTAATTTCTAAATTCCATACACTAAAGGGAAATGCGAAACATTGACATAAATATTGTGTTTAAAAGAAAGGTTTGTGAATAACTAGGTAAGTTGGCAAGTTCCTTTGAGTATATGAAATTAAGCATTGCTAATTCTTTTTAAACTTCAACCGTATTATTATAGCATTGTATTGATTAATTAGGAATAAAATGTCATCACAACCATCATTCATTAAGTTGGATTGAATCAAGCATAACATTGGTTCCAATATTAATTCGATGAAAGTTTTATTATAAATACATTTAGTGTTCATAAAAGCAAGGAATTAGTGTAGAGTAGAGGAGGTGTGAGAATTGATGTGTGAGTTGTGTCGAGTGATCAGAGATGGCGAGCATTGAACCACAGGTGCAGTCATTGTAAACACTGGACTGTGTTTTGGTGTAAACATTGATTCGCTATAAATATGCCATTTATTGGACACTATTTAACATTAATTATAACAATATATATAACCCTATCATTGGTTTCATTGACTAAAACTCAACAAACAATTGATTCAAAGGATTCAAAGCCAGAGAAGAAAGTT